GTTAAACAACCTTGCGATTATTGCGTCGATGGAAAATCGCCGCGAAGTTGCAGCCAATTTTCAAGCATGTTCAGGCCCGTTTACACTTGCAATTTTTGAAGCGCGACTATCGCGCGACAATCGCCACTTTGTTCTCTCGCACCTCAAATCGTACGTGTAAACAGCCCTGCGATTGTCGCGGCGATCAAAAATCGCCGCGAGTTGCAGCTAAATTTCAAGCATGTTCGAAACTAAGGCGATTGTCGCGCGACAATCGCGCTACAAAAATTGCAAGCAAAAATTGCCTTTCGAAACTCAGGCGATGGTCGCGCGACGATCGCCGCAAAAATCGCTCTGCAAAAATCGCAAGTGGAAACAGTCCTTTACGTCACCTACTTGATTTGCAATGCTTTATGGGATCRGCTTTAAGAGAAGCAAAAGAAATCCGCCATGTTTTGTCCCCAACATATACTACAATGCATAGCATATACGCTATATGACGTAATAGCTCCAGAGGCTTTTTTTCATCGTAACATATATCATAAAATCGGGTTCATCATTGGTAATTTCATGTGATTTTCACACTTTCTAGCAAAATAAGATTGCGAATCAATCAACTCATTGTGGGGTTATCCAAACACATTTTGCAGGCTTTTAAAGTTTGAAGCATCGGCTATTTTATATATTAATGCATTTAGAATGTCCCGTAAAGTTCTGTAGAATGTTTTTCTTTAAATTTTCTTAACTTTTGAGTAGCTAATAAATATATATATACCAAGTCTTAAATTTTTCCTTTTTTTTYATTGAAGAAATTCTACCCGCTTACTTATATAAATTTATTAATATATGAAGTAGTTGACATTTGAAATTTAAAAGCTAAATTTGTCAAGAAGATTATGCCTGAATAGTTTTGATAAACATAATTTCAAAGTATTCTTGAATTATTTGCGACCCGTTTTAGAGAAAAAAGAGCGAAAATCAAAGCATTTTACCAATGATACATCCGATATTATCATATATGTTAGCTGTCAGATTTTTATCAAATGATTGTATATAGACCTCTGCGGCTTTTACGTCATGTACCGTATACGCAATGCATTGTAGGACATGTTTGGGACAAAACATGGCGGATTTCTTTTGTTTTCTCTAGAAACTGATCCCACAATGCATTGAAAATCAAGTAGTGACGTAAAAGGTTCAGAAGTCTATTAACATAACTATGTATGTTTTAGAGGGGAATATCTTCAAATGGCCGTAATTGGTATTATACAATTACTGTTATATTGAAAATATGTCAAGATTAGCGGAATAAACTGCCGTTAATTGCTGGTGCGTTGGACTCGTTATCCTTCCAGCATTGCCTAGCAATCAAACATTAGTGTCAACCATGTTCATGTAGACACCGTGCATTAGCGCCTGTTATTCCTGTTTATAGTAGCCCGGTGATTATTGAGATATCAGAAGGAGCCGATGGGTTCCTGGGAGAAATATATCTGTTCATATGTCCCAATCAACTGTAAGTCACAACTGGCTGCCAGCGAGAAATTCATGAAAAAAGAACTCGCCAGGCAAGGAATACTTTCTAAGAATTTTTGCCAGGAAAATAAAATTTCCTAACTAAAAAAAATATAAGCCGTTTTTGACCATAAAAACGTTATATAAGCCTTTTGAGTAAAAACGTTTGCCAGGAACAAAATTATTTAAAAAAAAGAAAGGGTGCCGCATTTTCTTGTGAGATTGTCAACAATGTAGCTCAAAATCCCTTTCCCAGGAAAAAATTTCGTACAAGAACAGTTATATAGAACAGCAGACCCCGTCAGCTCCTATTTTGATATGCGATATTTTGTTTCACGTTCAGTACGTAACTCGAAGCGCGTAACTCGAAGATTACCCGTCCTCTCAGTGACTTTGGTTCTAATTCCTGGTCCTAATCATTGAAGCTTAGATGATTAGATCTTGGGTTCTTAGCTCAAGGTTTCGGAGCTGCGACTGATTATTATCATAGCCCGGTGATGGTTGCTTTTTACCTGGACGAATTAATCCTGGAAATCAACCTTTCCTGGAAATCAACCTTTCCTGGAAATCAACCTTTCCTGGAAATCAACCTTTCCTGGAAATCAACCTTTCCTGGAAAAGGATGCGCGGAAATAATTGAAACAAATTTCTGTAACTGGAGTATGGTAAAACAAAGCCACTATTAAAAACAATAACATTTAAAGCTAATGGATTTTGTATCCCTTTTCTGACGAAAAAACGTTTCTTTCACTCGCCATTAAACTATCTACTTCCAGGCATGATCTACTTCTGTGTTTGTATGTAAGTCGAGTAGAAGGAAGCTCCATTTGTTAGTGATAACTATTATTCAAAAGACTTCTGCATATTTATCTCTGATCAATGTAAGTTTGGAGATTTATCCGATAAGACTGGTATATCGTTTTCCATATCAAAGAAGGGATCTAACAAAGGATTTATTACACAACAGAATTGAATTATAAGACATGAATATTTGAGGATTTCTGGACATATCACATGAAACAGAGGTGACAGAAAAACCTGGTAGGATTGATTACACAAAACAGGTGAATTACGGGGGTAATATAAGTAATGCAGGTATTGGTATTATCAYAAAAATTGGGAGTGAAATATTCTGGATTAGGATAGCATATGCAATATCACAAATCACCGATTAAAAAAATAAAACGAAATGAAAAAGAAATGAAATGCAATGAAAAAAAAGAACTAAAGCTAAGGAAAATTCTTGGAAGAATTAATGATTTGAAAAAGTACTGGTTATTCACCGATTAAGAAAAGAAAAGAAAAGAAAAAGAAATGAAATAAAAAAAAATTAAAAAAAGCAACTAAAGCTAAGGAACATTCTTAGAAGAATAATGATTTGAAAACGCACTGATTATTTACTAATCTGAATCTAAATTCAGGGGAGTTATTTAAATATATAATTAATATATAAATAATAAATGAAATTGTTAAAAATAAACTAATAGTAAGAGTAAAACTATAAGAACAATTCTGATGTTCTAAAATTTTTACAATTCTCTGTGCCCGATTGTTCGAAGCCCGATTACCAAGAATCTCCATGGCTTGTTTAGCAGTCAAGCCAGGATTAGCGCTAATCGAGCCTTGTACCAGTAGAGAAAATTAGCGACGATAAGTTAGATTGAGCTGCGTAATGTTTTTACTGAAACTTGTCAAAAAACTGCATCGCACACCCCAAAAATAAAGAAAAACTGCTGATAATTTGGACAAGAGGTTTTTAAAGAACATTTTCAGGCTGATATTGGTGCAAAGGACTCAATCGCTCTGAACTTCGAAAATGGTTAWGGTGGTTTATAATGTAAGTATTTACTCTTTTTTGCGTTCCGTTTTGATTTTGTTTTTCTTTGAAATTTCGTTCCTTTTTTGACTTTAAGGAATACGAATTTACAAAAGCATTAATTAACTATTTTTTAACGAATACTATAATTTTTTCAACACTTACCAAATCTTCCAGCATCTTTAATTTATACACAGCATTGACAGCTCTATTCGTCCTCCATTGACTCAAGAAAACCTTCCTGGAATTTACTCTTTTCGTGRTGTCTGTCCAGCAAGAAATCCTTCCTGGAATATACACTATTCGTGKGTGGTGTCTGTCCRGCAAGTACCTTATAAACAGAATTACCAGAAACTAATTAATTCGMCTGATTTTTTTCACTGATTGGCTTGKTWWTMWGYAGTWKTYTKMWG